TTGTTTGTTTATCCTCGCGATCGCTTCCGAAGTCAAGGCAGAAGGCATTTCACCACTGCTGGTGTCGCGTTTGCTTGGCTTGTGTTTCTGCGAGTGGATATAACGATTAATATTTCATCTTAACCTGAAAGGATGCACGAGATATAAAGGGCATCTCTTAGCGTTTGTTTGTCCTGTTTAGTTTTAGTCTAGGTGTTTCCGTTGTCTGGTTGGCATTGCTGATGTTGGCAGTCTTGATGTGTGGTGCTGGGCTCGTAAGCGCATCCGCATGAGCTTTATTGTATGTTTTCAGCGAGAGTGTATACAGAAAAATATCTCCCGACACGTCTACCGTTCTATACGAACATATACCAGGTGTACACGTAGATATACAGACACATCTACAACGACACACGAACATCTCCAATGTGTACCGCGGATTAAGCATATGCACAATGTCTAGACCCCACCTTTCTCCCTGTCCTAATCTGCTCTGCCTGTAGTTCCGCAAGCGCTCTGTTGTATGTGTGCAGTGATCGTGCCGACAGCGAACTTCGTTTGCTGTGTCCCGAGAGCGACGCAGTCGTCTGTTTGCCCCGAATCGATAGGTTTAACCTCGGTACTACCTTTGTCTGCATGTGTGTATTGTATCCATTATGAGGGTCTGAAGGTACTCTCTCAGTCTCATACAGACACATACTAAAGTTTACAGACGTGTCTGGGATACGTTTGAGTGTGTTGGATTATTATATATCGTATCACTTATAGTGCACATTTCCACGTGACCGTAGTGTGAGGGAAAGTTATACTATCCATGTTCAGTGACAGAGGCAGTGTGTTCCCCCAGGAACATCCAAATATTATATATATATATATTATTAGGTTCAATTGCGTACTCGCACAAAGTCATAGTGCTTTGCAATGGCAATATCCGCACAATAGTAAACTCTATGCACACTGACACCATATCACCAGCCAGACACATCATACACGCGCACACGCACGTGCAAATAACCTCAAGGCGACAGCACAATATATTCATGGTAACTGTTTGTACGTACATGGGTATCAGCTCTGTGCACAGATAAGATCTTGCAAGTCATAGTGCGATGCAATGCCAATACCTGGTCAATAGCAATAGGAAACTAATATGCACACACACACGATAATACCATTTAGACACATTATACACGCGCACACGCACGTCCAGATAACCTCAAGATAACAGCACATATACGTGGAAACTGCTTGTACGTACATGGCTATCAGTTCTGTGCATTGATAAGATCTTAGAGCCGTTCGTGCGTGGTTGCTGGTATGCGCGATGTTTGTCACAGAGCAAACTGCGAACACGCGAGCGAAAATCTACGCCATCCGCTGTAGACATCTTTGGTAGGTCTCCTGTGTGTGTGGGTGTGTGCGTATGAGCTGATTAATGTTAGATACATAGCTATTTATGCGTTCACACAGAGTTTTGGAAGTCCCATTGCATGTATGTGTGTGTGTGTGTGTGGTGGGTGGGTGGGTGGGTGAACCGGTTACAGTGTTTAATATATAGTCATTTACGCGTTCACATAGAGTTACGGAAAACTCACTGTATGTATGTATTTATGTATGTGTGGGTGGGTGTGGGTGTGAGTGAACCGGATACAGTGTGCAATATATAGTCATGTATGCGTTCACATAGGGCTTTGATAGTTCTTTTGATTCTCAAGCAACACAGTCGATCTGAGTGCAGGCACTTGCCTGGTTCACAGCCATAGCAACCATCCTCAGTCAGGGGAGGCTTGAGGACGTGCACAAGCAATCGCTTGTCTGGTGCGGCGTAGATCAGACAGGTCTTCCCGGTGTAGGTGCGTCTTTGTGCCACAGACTCGTCTCCGTGGGGCTGGACGGTGACATCTTTGGTTGTTGCTGCATTGGTATGGTCCTGGGGGGAGATAAGTACGGGAGATTCAGGTCCTAGTATGGAAAGGCAATACGGAGTTTATAAGTACAGATATAATAATGTACACATGGGATACCAGATTTTCTATTCTGGGAAACGTGTAGCATAAGAGGAAGAACGGACTACACCATGATGTAAGTAAGTCAGTATCTCATCATACAACTGCGGCATGCCACAACTGGGGGAAGGATAGCCACAAAATATAAGCAAGAGGTACCAAGCTAAAACTAGACGCCTCTATGTGGCAAGTAAGACTTTGCAAGATATGAAGTAGGTATAAGGAACGGCAGGACTCTAGGCGTGGATATGGACACCGCACAAGTTGCTTATACCTCTCTCATAGGCTGCGACGCGACAACACAAACCATTGCAGTATCTCACACACACCAAGTGTGCTGGTACGGGATATACGTAGTATCGAGCAAACCAGCCCAAACTGATGTGTACGTATACGTAAAGTCAGAAAACAGGCTGTACCGGACACACAGACACGGGCATTATGGGGTATACGCAGAAAATGCCATTACGTTTACGTATTGTTGTGTACGGCTATATCGGGCGGCTCATACCGGTTCGAATGCGGGATCCCAACCATTTGCAATTTCCACAATCCTTTCCCGAGCGAGAAGACCAATCCAAGGGGTGTCTACAATAAAGTATAGTATTCACCGAGTGGTTAGGGACAAACTGCATACACTTATGCATTAGTGATGAACAAATCCGATGGGGAGGTTGGTAGAGTGTAGGTACAATCAGACTAAGCGCCACATGATATAAAATGAACACATACACATCAGCCAAAGAAATATGGACTGTTCACGAAGAACGTATTGTATGTGCAAGCGGGAAGCGTGTGGATTGGAATGAGACGGGCACTACCACTAAGATGGGTCTGAAAACTATCAGCGGGTACAATCAATAAACGCAGACTACTTATATATATATATATATATATATATATATACATTATATATATGTATATATATATACATATATATATATATATATATATATATAAGACGGGCGTGTGATTGACAAGGGAACACACCTATGTGCAATAAATTTCAGTACAAATGCATGGCCATGACTCCCCAAAAAGTGGTATGGAGTGTGGTTGCCATGCTTTATTGCTATGGCAACCACCTGCTGTACACTCTCTAATTGTCACTCCGTGAAAGTCCCAAACTCAGCACACACTTATGTAAAGGCACAAATGATCCTTGCAACAAGGAAAGCGCCTGTGTGCGTTTAGTTCGCTTGCCGTAACAGTCAGGCTTGGGTGTCTTACAACAGCCGAAGTATATCATAGCATATATCGGGGTTTTACGCGCGCATATCTCTTACACACTCAGACGCATCTCGTAAACCCACACACTTCTCGTACATGTACACACACACCACACACGCACACCTCTCTCATGCATACATACACACCTCTCATGAATACACACACCCCTCTCATGCATACACACACCCCTCTCATACATACACACACCCCTCTCATGCATACACACACCCCTCTCATGCATACACACACACCTCTCATGCATACACACCCCCTCTCATGCATACACACACCCCTCTCTAGCATACACACACCCCTCTCCTGCATACACACACCTCTCTCATGCATACACACGCCCGTCTCGTACAGACACAAACCCATCCCGTCCATACACATCTATCTCATAGTTACACACACTCATCCCATGCATACACACGCCCATCTCGTACACACACACACCCATCTCCTACACACAACCATCTCTAATTTAAACGCATCCACCTCTCACTTAAACACATCTATCTCTAATTACACACACCCATCTCTAACTTACACACACCCATCTCTAACTTAAACACACCCATCTAACTTACACACACTCATCTCTAACTGGAAACCCAACCCATCACTAACTTACACACCCATTCCTTTCATACCCATTTTGGCTCCAGAGTCCACCAAGTCTTGCAGCCACTGGGCGGTCAGCGTGGTATTGGTAGCAGGCCACATGGCCTCGTAACAGTCTGCGGTCAACCAGCTATCCAACTGTGTACCTACCACGTCCAACATATCCAAGGACGAGTACACCTCCAGTAACACCCCCTCGTGTGCACGTGTTTGGGGGGTAGTGTTGGGCTTGGGTTGGGTCTGGGTTCCTGTCGCGGCAGTCGGGTTGTGCGGCTGGGTCTGGGTAGGTGCTGGGATAGACGTATTGTACGTGCTGGCGGGGTTAGTCGTATTCGAGTACGTATTCGAGTACGTATATGTGTTCCCACCGCTGGCCTTATTCCGTGCCATGTCTCCTTTGCGGTCACGTGACTGCGTACACACATTACCGTTCTCGTCCACATCCGATGGCACCAGCGTTACGCCCACACTGTCTGCGTCATGCGCCGAGTACCGCTTTGCCTCGTGCACCGCCGCCAGGGGGTTCAGGGCCCTAGGGTTTTTCGGGGGTAGGGTTTTATGCCTATCCAAACCCTGGTTCCCAGCCGTGCCATGACTAATGTTGCTGCTGATTTTCCCGAGCACCGGCCTGGGTTTGTCTGGCTTGGCTGCCTTCGTGCTTACTAACTGTGCGTAAACAGTACCCCTCCCACCAGCTCTCGGCGCTTTAGGCTTAGTTACGGGGTGCGTGTGGGCCCAAAAAATCCTCCCCTGAGACACCCTTCACGGGTGCATCTGCAGTCTGTGGGGCAGTCTGTGGGTGCACAGTGTTAGGTCCTTTCCTACCACCACCCTCACCCAGCTTAAAGCCACCCACACCCCTACCCACACCCTTACCCACACCATTACCCACTCTCCTACCCACTCCCCTACCCACTCCCTTACCCATATCCCTACCCACACTCATACCCATATCCCCACCCCTACAGCCGCGTATCTCTGGGGGTATGACCAGGAGTGCCAGTATCTGTCGTCCCCTGCACCCCAAAGGGGTCTGTGCCAGGAACCGTTGCATGCGGGCCTCGAGGTCTTTTAACTTGGCCCGTTGGGTCATAGTCAGCGACGGCAACGGTGCGTGGGATATGGACGCCTGTGCCTTGGGTGTGAGCTTTGATCGGATGATCTTGGGTATGCCTGAGCCAGGGGTTAACTTCGTCGCACCGGACATGGGTCGGCCCGTACTCGTGGTCTTCTGAGCTTTGAGTTTCACGGCACTTTCATCTGTGCTAGTGTGTGCACATGGTTCTATTTTTAGCTCGCTCCAGGCACGTTTGTTACCACAGTCTGTGGACCCATGGACTGCCGGTGTACGACCGCGTCGGGGGGTGGCTGAGGACGACACAATAAAAAACGTATACCAGTTAAAAAACATGTCGCAAATTGCACGGGGCGGTTATAGGATGGGATGTGGCTTAGGAATTAGCGAGAGAAAGGGGTGTTGTAGATTAATAATGAGACTTGTCGCAAACTAGCATGTGGTGTCGTGAAGTAGCAGCGAACCAAGCTCTGCCGGCGTGCGACTGTGTTTGTCTGCGACCACGTGTACGGTGTGGTTGCGTGATCTGGCTCTGGGACTGCATGATACAGGGTGTGTTGGGTTGATACAGTGTGTCTTGGATAAACATAGCAGTGTGGTAGATAAGCTGGTGGGATCAGTAGTGTTGTAATCAGTAGGAAGTGCCTATCTTGGTTACAGTACGAATGCGGGAGGTGGACCCAGGGTAGGTAGGAATTGGCGAAAAACAATCAGCGGCGCAACGCATACTTCAGTAAATAAGATGAATGGCTGAGCCAACCTAAACCCCTAAAAACCTATAAATAAAAAACCCTAAACACCTCGCTATGAAACGCCCTCCGCCCCGAACACATCCTCCTTAATGCCTACCGGCAGGCATAGTCGCACATCGCGACCCGGTGATGCGGTAGTGAGTACGATACACTGGTGAGCCACTGTATCATATCTCATATTCAATGAAACGATATGCATATCTGTCACAGCCTAGTAACAGACTCTGTGTCAATTCAGTTACGGTTGTCAAACGCCTACACCACCATCAACTAGACAACTACAGCCAAAGAAAACAACTCAACAAGTACAACAACCACAGACAGCAAAAGACTCAGCCCCTCGATAGTCCAGTTCGCCCTCCCCTGAAAAGCAGGGTCACGGGAACTGCCAACACCTGCCGGTAGCCACAAGTCCACCCCGGACATCAGGCATTGTATATAGCAATAGCGTGTAAACAAATAAAGATACCTAAAACCTAAAACCCTAAAAACCTAAAACCCTTAAATCTAGGTACTAGGTTGGTTGACACAGTCATTCACCTAATTTGCTACAGTACTTATTATGTTTCTGCGGATATCCGGGTAAACAGAGAAAACTATTTGATGTGCATCAGTACACATGGACGAAAGGCAATGCCATTCATGCAAACAACCCTGAAGCAACGGGTGCATCTCACTCGAACTCAAACAGACCCAGCAGCGGAAGTGCACACCCTCACAAGAACTAGGCAGGGTAATCTTGGTAATTGGGGTGATCTAACTGATCGAAGCACTATGAATATAAGAGAACAGAATAGACCGAAAAGAAACCATGTAACAAGGCAACCCGGACTAACTCTCTCGACTTAAACAGTTGAAAATGTATATCGCTCGAACTCAAACAGACCAGACAGCGGAAGGGCCACACCCCAATAAGAACGAGACATGACATCCTATTAATTGAGGAGACCTATCTGACCGTAGCACTATCTATGGAAGACGACAGAATAGACCGAACAGAAACAATGCAACAAAGTAACCCGGACTAACTCTCTTGACTTAGACAGTTATAAAAATACCTGATGGCGAGCCTCGGGGTGATGCAGCGGGAGTGCCCTGGGGTGTGGCTGCCGGTGTGTTGTTCCTGGAGGTTAACCGAGATGCCGAGGGTGTGCTATTTTTAGACACGCCCAGCACATCTCTTGTGTCTTTGCAGGGGACTTTCTCAGAGAACACATACGCGTTCAGCAACATGCCCCAGACACTGGCGTCGCAAGCCACGGCAGGCGAGATATAGCACTTGTGCTGCTGTGTGTCTTTCGCCACCAATACCGAGCCGTGTTTCAGATCACCCTGTGCGTGTCGGCCTCTCCCACCAGCATCTACAGCAGTAGCACACCCTCGGATATTGGCCTCCTCCACATTCTCCTTATCACTCTTGTCCATATCACCCAGGGCGTGTACAACACCTTCCACTTTCACCACCCTACTTGCACCTGTAGCTGCACCTGGGTTCTGATCGAGGCCTGCGCTTGTGCCCACACCCATGCAGGCGCCCATGTGGTTGCCTGTGTCTTTGCATGCACTGTTCTCCAACCCACACGGCTGTGCCTTCTCAGTCTGTCCCTGGCCCAGTGCGGGTAACTGAGGACTACAGACCACCAGCGGGGCTGACCCTGCAGCACACTCCAGTTGCACCAAAACCACTCGCCCGTTGCGCTCACCTATAGTACTCTTGATGGCCGTATACATGCTCCTACCTACACATAAAAATACAGTATACCCCCGCGGAATGCGAAAAAGATGTGGTTACTAGTTGCCCCTTGACGCGTATAGTATTTCGTAGTACAAATTCACACCCTGGACACGTATAAAGAAACGTATAACGAAACAATTCGGCGTTTGTAGGTGTGATATTAACAGTCACTCCTTGGCGCGTATAGTAATTTTAAGTACAAATTCCAACCTGGAAACGCATAAAGAATGCATTCGATGTCATGCCTAGTGGTAAAGGTGGGACTCATACTCCCAAATGAATAGGGTTGGCTAAAAAACGGAGTACCTCACCTACTGACACAAGCATATTCAAGCGACATCGCGAATACTTATTCGTGCTTTGCTATTTGATTATATCAATCTATATACACTTCAGGCACACTTTAATCTATAGTAGGCACCGAAACCCATATAAGAATTCAGGGAATGCGAAAAACTAAGCATTCTTGTTTGTATATAGTCATGTTTGTATGAGTGTGCGAATCAGTACATGCAATCGCCATGCTGGCCATTGCTACGCTGTATACATAGGTGTGTGTATATCAATATGGATACACATTATACATATATATATATATATATATATAAGCTGTAGATACTAACGCATACCTTCGTCAGACATTGGGGAGGGCAGTGAGCCACGATGTATCCATACAAAGTCCCACAGCTCGGGTGACTTTGTCTCATCGCTGGATCCTGCTGTGCTTTGCACCTCATTCGCAGTTTGCTCGAGTACTGCACTCGCTTCGGACAGGTCCATGAATGCGATGAACTCATTTGCGGCCTGTGAGTAATTAATAGTATATTCGTCAGAAATGGGTGGTAGGTTGTGTGCTTCGCTCGTATATAAACGTTTACATGCCCTACGATACTACCAGCATATGGTCTTTACACTACTTGCTTTAGTGATAAGGGCGTGCGTGGGCGGTATAACAGCGCAAGTACGAAATAGATGCAATATTAGATACGGCTTCTATATTGTTATCAATATATATATGAACTTTTTTCTCGATGGGCAATTTAGTCAATTTAAAGTTAATTGTCAGTAGGCCTCGGGGCTGTTGCATCTCCGGATACGTGGAGAAACGAGTGTTCTATGTATATATCCTCACTCGCGCACTATCATACTTCAACATAATAGATACAAATCACCTATACAAAACAACACTCTATGCTCTTCATTGGTTATGTATCAGACGAAGGCTTTAGCTCCACATCTTGCTCAATTGGTACACGTCAATATAATATGTTATCATTGTCATTGGGGGCGCAGCTGACAGCTAATAATAGAGTATCAAGTTATAGCGACATTGCTGTACCTTTCACTTTTCATAAGAGACGTAAACGCAGATATGATAAGATTCAGTCTCAATTGTGCACATATATACATCCGTGGACACTCATGATTGTGCATAAATAGGTAGTGGACCGGAGGTGCATTTAAATACCTTGCGGTTGTCGCGTTTGGCCGGGAGTGACCGCACTTTAGCCTTGATAGCAACCACAGCCTGAGCCAACTCCTCTGGTATCATCCAGCCCTTTTTATACAGTCTCTCGCATTCTTTGGTGAGACCTTTGCGATGTCCCTTAAGCATCCTAGAGAGAGAAGGCTGCGTTGACTCTCTATGAATGCATTGGGATGTTTCAAGCACTTTTTCAAGAACTCTTAACACGGCCGCATCAGTGACAAGATTATCCACGCAGGCAGATGCCTGCAAGCAAGGATGCAGCTGCTGATTCGGCTCTGGTTTACATTGTGTGGTGTCTTGAGGATTTGATTGGATCGCTTTGCCTGCGCCCAGCCGGGTATCCTTGAGCGCATCGGTGTCTGAGTTTGTATTGGCGCGTGTTGTCAGCACTAGCAGCCGCCTGGCTGTTATAGACATGCCGACGGCAGAATGAACTAGCCTGTGCTGGCCTGGATGTTTAAGTGGTGGAGTGAATATATGGCGAGGTCTACTATGAGCCAAGCGTTGCTTTATATCGTGTTCACGCTGTATACACGAACACAACCGCTGTTATATTTTTTTTTTAAATTGCTGAATTACAGATAGGCGTACTATATGACTTTGGCTGAGCCAAAATAATTTATACATTCTGTATGGAGATGAAACCCCGCGTTAATTCCTACACACCAATCAGACCTTCAATCGACTGTTCAGGTTTTCTATGGCATTTTGTTTCAGTGTTTCTGTGGGGTGTTACCGTGTTTGAAATGGTGTAAAAAAGTATACATACTGATGATCCCTGTCATGTGAATGTATATCGTGATAAATACCAAAGTAACTACACCAGTTGACTTACTACATAAAACAATGTGTACGGCCTTCGCAGACTACATCGAACAAGTCCGCATCAGTTTGACACTAACGTTCCCATTGACTTGGGAAGTGTCTGTTGAAACACATGGATTATCCTAACGACTTGTGAATGCGTAGTGCGGGAAATACGGAGTAGTTATACCAGGTAACAAACTACATAGAACAATGCTCTTGAAATCATTCGGGACATAGGGAGTGGTTGGAAAGTGTGAAAAGTTACATTCAAGAAGTCAAGTATGACATCCCGAGCACCCGAACAATCCGACATGAGTTCATGTAGCATAATATGAGCAAACAGTACCGTCGAAAATCAAGTAAGTTTTCTCCAGGACTGCTATATGTTTATACTTCTCGAAACGAACTTCTCGAGGATGTGATTGATTTCACGACTTATTCATATCAAGGTCGAGGAATTGTTGCAGTGGAGATGTTACAGATGTCGGTATTGAGTAATCGTAAAAAAGCTACATGGTTCCACAAGCTACAATTAATATAGCGATCATGTAGATATTTAAAAGACTTCGGAAAACGACGCCATACATCAGCTGTCTGAACTTACGTATAGGTGGTGTATGAGGACTGTGTCGAGGTATCTTCAGCTTAAAGGAAAAATAAAAGGTGCGATTCAAAGGTTGTGTACTATACAATAATATACCTAGGAAAAACGATACTGAAATGTACACTGAATTTTATCAGCCACTGACGGCCCCGTTTCTTAAACCATGTGATCTTACTATAAACCACTATCTTTTTCTAATAGCATCTCGTCTATCATACTCATAAATCATGTGAAGTGTATGGATTAAACATTATTATAGTCAATATCCAGACATGACGCGATTACACAGTCAATCACAACTTTATATGTATATCAATATATATTGTAACATACTCTTATTTATATAAGTACATACAATATTTACGGGCCTATTATACCAAAATCGATGCCGTAACATATATTGTACCTTTCAACCCAATTTCAGTTTATTTGTTCATCTATGTGGATGTAAACGATTCTCTATAAAATGGAAGCCCTTTCCCTCCGTAGATGTCCAGCCCGAGATATAAAACATCCTCATCGTTTTCGTGGTAAGTATCAAGGTATGCGCACATTCCAGAGTTAAGCTCTTTCAGCAGCACAACGGGTTCATCTGGATATCCGACAGTTTGTGAGGATTCGATGGTCACCCATCTGTCGCTAGAATCATCACAAGTGTCATACCCTCGGTAGTTCTCTGTGCCAATATAGTTCCATCCATCGCAAGTCCATGCTTGCCCTGCACATCCCTGATGCACTCCTGGTTGCACTTGTAGACAATAATATGTATCCACTTTAACGATCTGATTCGAACCGAACCACTAGTAATAGTTGCCAGCCTCAAAGGGACTGAATTGATTGTCGTTGCGATAGAGTACTTTGGTGTTATTTCCTGTTAGAACGGTGGCCTGTAACATGAATTGTTTGCTAGCTGTTTCAAAAGCTATTTGAGAAATGGATACTAGTAACACCCCAGTTCTGTACATACCGGAATTGCTTTATCTTATGTGAAGGGTGAATGTTGACTGTATTCGTACAAAATTTGTTCTGTGGAATGGTTTGTGTAAAAGTATATTCTATAGGATAACGGGTGTTTCATGCAACGGGCACTTGGGCAGGGTTGATAGTGTTTTGGTGAACTCGGACAGTAAAGCGTGCTCCCAGATTACCCGATCTCAATGTGTACAAATTCTGCAGAAGTCGTATCTAGTTAGCGGTGCATTGTTCAACGGACACATATACATCACGTCGGATCTTTACTCTTCACTGTTTAAATGAATGCAAACTAGTCTATGTACATAAATGGGTATTAAAAATTAAAAATACACTATGTACGATTGTACGATTTAGTCCCCAAAAACGTTTTAATTTTGAAAAATTAACGGGTATGTACATAGAGTTTTGAGCTTTTTGTTTTTATTTTGTTTAAAAACAATGTCAATATATAAAGGAGCAAGTTAAATGAGCTCCTGTAAAGAGTAGATCTATTGTTTGCGAAATGCTAACTGCATTTTCACGAATCACATTGTATGACTTATGTCAA